AACCATGACATCAATTTAGTAATGTCACCTGCTTTATTGTGCAAAGCATGTGACTGTACATTTAGTGTGGCTAGACAGCCTTCAAAATGTCAGTGCAACAAAATAAAACTGTTGAGGTCAGATATGCAATATTTTAGCATTTGTAGTCATTGAAATAAACATCACTTGACATTTAAATACTGAATATGTCAAGCATATGTCGAAACAGAGGAAACGCGTTAGAATTAATGTAAATAACCCAGGGTGCATGACAGGAGGCGGCCAGTTTGACCCTGCCATCGTCCAACTGGAACAAGACCACAACTGCTCTTGTTATTCTTTCCCCAACTCAATCAAACCAGCTTTCCAGGCTCCAATTACCCAGAATGCCATGTTCGATTGGAGCACAACTAGTCCCTAAAAAACGCTTTGTTCTGTCAACACAACACTGAGACTGATGCGGTGGGGGTTCTCATTTGCCTGACAAAATAGCCTCTCCCTCTGGTATCATGTTGTGGAGTTAGCTTCTCTCTTGCTCTCTGCGTCTCTCCCTCTCTTGTTGCTCCTGTTGAGTTGTGGAGTTTGATGAATGGCGTGACAGAAACCATCAAGCTAACACATACAGCTATTCAGCCCACCGTGTCTGACCTGTTCACTGACTGTCTGTACTCTCTTCTCCAGCATTTTAGATACCATCTCACTATTCAGTCAAATTGGCTTTAGTCTGGGCTTGCATGGAAATCCACATTACACAAGTTGAATGTAGTTAAGACTGTAGTGAAGACGTTAAAATCATTATCTAGTCATAAGAAAGTCATCCATTTGCAAATTTGGAGCTTTTTCTTGTAGTGGTTCTCGTGTTTTCCACAATTTTGCCAATACTCTGGACAAGTTAATTATCTGTGCAGTCTCCTCTGTGGTTTTGGGAACCTATACTTTTAGCACAATGATTGATGAGAGATCCTGTCTTAAAATATTGCATTCATTTTTACATCCACTTCTCTTAAAGTGCAGATGCACAGCAATATTTCTCTGGGATAAGAGGCCCTATAAACTTGCTTTGCAGACATTGTCCCAGGATATATTTAGAACTTATACTTATATATATATACATATATATATATGTGAGAAGAAGATGATTAATGTGCCTTTTCAGTGGCAATTCCAGTTAAAAGTGAGTAACAAACATTTTGGTGGCCCTGAGAGATTGAGACATATTGTATTGTTAATTCATCCAGGAAACAATGTATCTTTTCAAGTGACCTAGTTCATCTCAAATATCCAGAGTATGTGTCCCTGAGATATTGATCAGTAAAACCGAGGTTGAGTCTAGTGTCTGTAATTGTTTGTATGTGTGTACATATTGTTCTCCTGAGCCCCTACAGACTTGTTGTCATTCTTCCACCGAAGCCAAGAGCAGATAGTCTGTCAAAACAAGTGCTCTCACTTCCAGCTGATGGGGAAAGTGCTTTCACAATGGGTGAAGTTTGAGTTGCTTTTTTTTTTTTTTTTAAATCCGCTGTGGATGGATCAGATGCTCCTTTTAACTTGAAGGAGCAGTGGCTCCACTCTGAGCTCCCTCCTGATGTCTGAGCTCCATACCGTACCATTTGATGTAGGAAATTCATTTTGGCTGCCTGTATTTGAGAGCTCATTCTTTCCATCACTATGCAAAGCTCATGACAAGGGGTGAAGGTTGGAACGTGGAGCACTTGGTAAATCAATCTGAGTACAATATGTGTGTGATTCCACTCTGTTAAAAAAGTGGTCACCAGCTCCACATATGGAGTGCTTGTCTGACCTTTCCTCTGTCTCCTGCTTCTTGTTGGAGGCATTTTAGAGCAGATATAGATTCGCTGTTCTTACCACTAATCCATCCGGGCCTGTTGGCCCATGCATTATCATTGCTGCTTTGATACATATCATCAGCTCCAGACCAGACACATTTAAATGGTCTTATCTGTCTTATTATTTTTGGAACTTTGCCGGCATTGAAGAATCTGCCAAGTGTGTAAATGAAGAAATGGAGTAGATGTTGCATGCAGCTGTTCAAGGTGTCTTAGATACATGTACAGAAGTAATACTATTAATTCCTGTCCACTGCCTAACATCTGGTATGAATAGTAGGCCCAGCCAATTTAAACTTGCTTTCAGTCAATTAAAACGTCAACCTGTTTCAGCAATTTTCTCAAATAAATGTTCTCACCTCAGTGTTTAATGTAGTTTTTAACTTGGTTTAAGGGAGATTAGCATTTTAAAAATTGATCGAGGAGAATAAATGACTTGTATTTGCTACACCTTTTACAGCATGTTGGCTCTCTCTCTCATAGTGTCTCTGAAGCTTAAATACCAGTTTTTAAAATCCCTTTCTTACAGAATTGCTTCTGTTCTTGTGCTGGAATGGCCAGAGAAAATCTGTTTTTATGAGCATAAACTACAAATATTAACTTACCTGATGTGACCTTTAGCAGCCTGTGTGTTATGTCTCCTTCATTATTTGCTGCTCTGTGTACTGTAAGGTGCATGCAGAGAGTTCCTCTAAAACAGCAGCCTCTTCCCACACACTGGCCCCTGCGGTCGCCTTTATGTTAATACTCTGACCCAAAGTATGTGCAGGCTATTCGGGAGGGTATTATTAGTGGGTATGCATGCGTATGCTCCGTTTGGTGGGATCTCCACATTCGCTAACACCAGACCCATGGCTAACAGAGAAACCACTGTGGCCCTTCAGCACTTTGAGCCGATCCCTTAAAACACTCGAAACACACAACATTTACACATAAATAGGAGACATCTAATTATACCAGCATATGTGCATACATTGATCCAGTAATGGCCATTGGACTTCTGGCTTGGAAAGACTTTAAACACTTAGTCAGCAGCGTCACTGTGCTGACAGTTGGCTGAAGAGGACCAGGGAGGATGGCAGCTTGACAGGGGGGCACTGACAGCTGGGAGCGGGCATAGTGAACCTCTCTGAGCTGGGAACCAGAGCAACAAGCAGCATAGAGCTTTGAGGATCAGAGAAACCAGGCTCTCCATCTCCTTTAGTCTCTCTCCATCCTCCTTTTCCTCCCTTAGTACACAGGCTCTGTAATTACTGCCAGGGCCGCTTGAAGTTTAGCCAATTAGACAATAAAGACCAGAACTTGCTCTCCTGTTATGTTTCCCTCCCTCGGTGGTCACACCCTTGCACGTCTCACTTTTCACTCTGTATTTTATGCTCTGTAATGTGTCACTATTACATCCTGTTTGGACTTAAAATGCTGAAAAATCATCCACCACCTTCTAACACATCCTTTGCTTCCCTCCTCCCTCCCTTTTTAATTTTTTACAATATATGATAACCTTTCTGACTTTCACTGGGTCAATAAGCCTTGATTTGTTCTCCTTTTTCAGTTTCTTTTATCTTCTCTGCATCAATTGATCCAACTCCTTTTTCTTTACATCCATTGTTCAGTGGGTTTCATCCATATAACCCCTCAGCCTCATTTAAAATACCCCTAACTGACTTTCAGCTTGGCCTTCACAGCAGTGCTAGCAGATGGTCGGTCTAAGAAAATAAAGATATGTTTCTCTGACTTTAATGTCCTGTCTAATTGTATGTGGTAGATTGTAAGCGATGGCTAAACTTAGTTTGGGAACGGTAGCTGGTGTCTGGGGCGAATGCAAGAGCCCGGTCTGCATCGCCCAGTGTTCTATGGTGGTTTTAGACCTCTGGCAAACAGCTGCGTAGTCTGTAGAAGAAATAATTACAATTGTAGAGCTTTTTCTTTTTTGTTTTGGTCCCTCCTACTAGCCTTGCCCCTCGTTGCTGGTCTTGCTGATGTAGGGTTTTGAGGAACCGAAGGTTGTTTTTAGTGGTTATGTGTGACGTTCTTTGTTATTCAATTTAGTCATGTCACTAAAGTCAGAGCTATGTTGGTACTGTATCGTGCTGGCAGGCAGAGCAATACGTGGGTTGTGTGTATTTGAATGGTCAACTTTTATAATCTATAGAGTATCAGGATGATTGCATTACTTTAGTTTTGCATAAAGACTGGACGCAGCTACTGTAGGTCAGCTCTTTCATTAGGTAACAAAAGCCACGTATGAACATGTGAAGTTCACTTCTTAACATCTTATATCTCGTTTGTTTGATCTGAACAAAAAACAAAATATAAAAATGACAATTTGTGTTTTTATAGGAGTTACACAGTGTGCCGGACTATTTCTTGGCCAGTTACAGTGACTGGCTTTTTCACAGTGACAACAAGGCTCCAGGCCAAGAAAACATCTGGCACATAACGCCCTCTAAAACCATTTGGTCATTTTTACACTTGGTTTGTTGTTGAGGCTTCATAACCAACATAAAGTAAGTGTGGTGTGAATCAATGTTGAAAGACTGAATTTATAAAATAGTTTTTCTAATTTTATTTTTATTCAAAAAAGGCTGTTTTCACAGAATCCAGTATTGTAATTTACTAAACAACTAAAGTAAAGGAGCTCTTAAGTGACACTGCTGACTGTATCATGTATTAAAGCAAAGGCTTCCTCTCATTCAGACTTACTGTAGGTCACTTTTATGTTAATATTTCTCACGCCTTCGTTCAGACATCCCCACGGTCATGACGGAGAGAGCCACAATATGCTGATGATATTTGCCATAAGCAGAAGCTCAGCATAATGTTATACCCATTAAAGTGTGAGCTTCAGCTTAGCCCTCTGGTAAATGTCCACCGTCCCTCCTCACCTGCAGGTAGAGTACCCGTGTTCATATACAGTATACATCCACTCATACTTGAATACATAGGCCTATCAGTGTTTACCTCTTTTCAGATGCACATCTCTGCCCTCTATATGCACTCATGTATGACATTTTTTTCTATAGTTTTTCATTTGTTTTTGTTTTTTTTGCCAGTGCTCATTCCATAAGGGAACATGGGAGTTGACATTATCTGCTCTTCATGAAGTGGAGGGAGCCACGATAAATGGAATAAAATGTGAAAGTAAATGGGTTTGTATTTTCTGCTCTGTAACAGCAAATCCTGCGTCACTCCCGTGATAACGCCACCAAGGTCATTTTCCTGATTACTGATGGCTACTCTAATGGTGGGGACCCTCGGCCGGTGGCAGCAGCTCTGAGGGAACGTGGTGTAGAAATCTTCACTCTGGGCATCTGGCAGGGTAACATCAAGGAGCTCCATGACATGGCATCGCATCCCAAGGAGCAGCACTGCTACCTGGTGCACAACTTTGCCGAGTTTGAGGCCTTGGCTCGTCGTGCACTGCATGAAGGTAAGATGAACAGATGATCTTTTGGGATTTTTTTTTTTTTGCATTGGAGAATCCAAAGTTTTAAAGACATAATCAGAGACTTCTGAAAATTATGCAAACTCATTTCAAAGAAGCATCTGTGATCTCATTCACAGCCAAAAAGACATCTCAACCCTTTCTCACATACCCATGGCAGCAGTACAAGGGAGAATTAATCAAATCCTATGTTTTGGTAAATTAACATTTACACTACCAAGGCCCCTCTTTTGTCTCTTTGAGGCCTCAGTATTCCATCATTGCCTGTTGATCTTTTACATTATTTCTTAAATGAAGGTTTTGACCCTGTTAAAATCTAATGTTTACTTAAAAGGGAGCAGATAATATTTTCAATGGAATCTAACAGTGGACATTTCACCTGGTCTCTTCTGTTATGTAGTGCCAACAGCCATTTGTCCACACTTCCTTAAAGACTGGACAAAGCAGAGGACCTTTCCCACACTTCCCACAGTTTAGTGAAAAAATGGATTAAGTCATGGTTTTTAAACTCAGATATCTCCATAAATTTCACAGTTAGCATTGAGTGTGTATAAAGTTGTAAATCATGCTCAAGCACATGCAGACTGTCCAGCATATGTGCATGTTCATGCACAGTTTCTAAGATCCCAGACAGTAAGTGCAGTGGTAGAGATCAGTGAGGCAGTGCAAGGATAAGGCTGTGAGAATAAAAGTCAACACACACTGCACACTATCAGCTCAGCCTCCGGTCCGTCTCTCACGGTCTGTCTTGAAGTCTGCCCAATGACCCTGCCAACAACGGCCTCAAGCACACTCTCAGGTTTTCAAACATTTCAAATGTGGAGCCACATGTTGGGCCAGTCTTGCTGGCCTGAGATCAAATCACAGAAATTACACCAGAACACACACACAGAGCTGCCATGCAAGGCGCTGGCCTGGCAACTGGGAGCAGATGTATTTCAGCAGTTCTTAATACTACAAGTGTTGCTGTAGTCTTGACTCTTTAAGACATCTTTCTTTTTTTCATGCACCTTGAAAGCAAATAGTTGTGTGTTAAGTTGTGCTAGAATCCCCCACTTTCAATACATTTGATTGTCTGCTCTGCCAGATCTGTCTGACCTTAGCTAAATTATCTGACAGGCCCTGCAATCAGATCCTGCTGCAACCTGTGCTTCTTTGTGTTTGTTTCCTATGCTCAGACCTCCCTACCGGCAGCTACATCCATGAGGATCGGTCGCGCTGCTCCTCTCTGTGTGATACAGGCAAGGATTGCTGCGACTTGATGGCAAGCTGTAAGTGTGGCACACACACTGGGCAGTATGACTGCATCTGTGAGAAGGGGTATTACGGCAAGGGTCTGCAGCACGAATGCACAGGTAAGAAAGATGGACTACACCTGCCTCACCTGTCTCTAGCTCATACACCTAATTATCCTCCTTTAATTGTTTTCAGAAGTCCTCTCCTTACCAACCTGTCTCTCATTCAGCCATTACTTAAGTTATGTAAAACTCCATGTGTTTGCTTTGCTTTGTGAATTGTTCATCTATCCAGTCAGGTGTCTACAATCATTGATACATTAACACAAAGTATTCAATTGTTCATCTATCCAGTCAGGTGTCTAGAATCACTGATACATCAACACAAAGTATTCGTAACCTGAGTAGCTACAGTTAATGCTTAAACAGTTAGACCTGCATATATGCGTATTTTTTTCTCTGTGTGAATTTAGTGTGGTTCTACCTTGGGTAATTTAAGACACTGGATCTTACTGTCTTACTAATTACACTTGAAAAGGCTCCTAGTTTGAGCAGCGGCAGTCGGAATCTGAAAAAACTCCAGAATCATTTGAAGAAGCAGACCACAATCCCAGTGAAAGGATGTGCTTGTATCATGTTTAGCTTTGCTAACCAACATGGTTCTTTTCCAGACATTGCTGCAACAAAACATGTTCATGCCTTAGGAACAGACATATGGAGTTTCTTAACGTTTCTTTTCCTCTTGTCCTTGTTACCTTTACCTGTCAGCACTTACTCCAAATCAGAACCACTTGGTCTCAGATTGCTGCTAAGTTTACTATGGGTGAAATTTAAATAAGCATCCTGTCCTGTAACTGTGTCTAAGCTGTGCAGAGGGCAGATCACTATCAGCAAGCCCAATAATGAGCCGTAGGGGTGGAGGAATGAGACAGTGACATGTTTGTGTGTGCGTGTGTTCAAAACCTTGATGTCCTTCCCTCACCTCTGACTCTATCTCCCAGCTGAATACACCACATACTGCTCCCCGCCGAGAATTTCCTCCTTTAAATTACATTTCACACATTAATTTCTTTCTTTTCTACATGCAACAGTAATGCTGCTGTCATTTTAAAAACTGCCATTTTTGTTTTATTACTTTATCTCTCAATTGGTTCTTACATATTCATTTGCGGAACAAAAAATTGGTTTGATCTATTGCCAGAGTTATGTGTGTGTGTGTCGCTGGTATTACTCACACCGTGGGCACCGAAAACAGCACACTCACATCCTGGGGACTTGGCCTAGAGTGGATTAAGAAGGAGACAGACTCTATAAGGATCGCTCTTTACAGTAATGGTGAATCACAGGAACGTTGAATAGTTCAGAATTATTTGAAGCTACATGAGTCATGTGACCCGCTGCCATTTTTGACCGCTAAGTCTGGCAACTCTTCATTGTTCAGGGCTCCAGTCGCAACCATCTAAATCAGTGTATTTTAGAGTGATGACTTGGTTTAAGATTAGGTGAAGGGTTAGGGTTAGGCAAGTAGCAGTTATGGTTAAGGTTAGGGTAAGTCTCCAGGAAATGAATAAGTCAATATAAAGTCCCCACAAGGAATGAAATAAAAACTTACTCTTAGATGCATGTGCATGCATAATAATGTGGCATGTGGGATTATTCCCTTGGTTTGGAAGATTATATGGATCCATAAAATATCAGTTCAAGAAGAAATTACAATAATAGCACAAGTCCAAGACTATACTTTTAATTGTCAAGAAAATCAACCATAAACCATCTGAAGTACAGGAATGAATGATAAAGAGTGAAAATGTAGGCTGTAGGACTGTTTTGTCTCTTTGTCTTTTCTATCTTTTAAACACATTTACTTTTCCTCTCATGTTTCTTATCTCACAATCTCCTCATAATCTCCGTAGAGTCTATAAATATGATTGTAGGTAGTCATATAACTCCATAATGTGTTAAATGCAAACACTGGAGCCTTACAATTTCAATCAGAAGTTAAGTTAAGTTAAACAATTCTCTCTTACTTCCACACCATTAGTTTGTGAGATGACGCCTACAGTCGGAAATTATACAATACAAACAGTCTGTGTAAATCAGATGAGAAGACATTTATTGTTAATCATCTCCAGACAGAGATGCTGGATATGTCTCTGTTGAGCAGAAGTGGTGAGGCAGTGGCTCTTCTTTATGTGGAGAAACTCTCAAAGCCTTTAATCCTTTTGAAAGCACCCACCGCAGAAATGATAGATGATCTTTGTGGCAGTGCAGCAACCCATGTAATGACAGATGAGTTTTATAGTTAAATGTCCATCCTTTGGTCTGTTAAATCTCCAGGTCACACAGCACAGTGTTGCAGTTTGATGCAGGTGGTCTCCGTCATTTAAGGTTAAGGGTTGATACATTATTTTGATTGAATATGCAACACTGTAATCACAGAGGAACATTGCAGTCTGTGTGATTGTTGGAGAGCAGAACAACTAACAGATGCACTGGCTGGTGTGTGTGTCTGTGTTTCAGAAACTGCTGTGCGAGACCTCAGTTGTTTAGACAACTCACCCGTGGGGAGGCAGGTGGGAGGGATTGAAGGGAATAAACAGAAAAACCAGTGCTGAGTTTGCGGTTTAAAAGAAACAACGGCAGTTCAAATCAGGATACGTATGAACTCTAATAAATGAAAACAAGGGGACACAGTCCTGGTTGTGTTTGGCCTGTAGGCCTTTCCTCTTTGTGTCCACATGTTTTCAATCCAGAATTAGATAGGATTAGGAAGAAAGAAGGACATGTGAGTGACAGATAAGTTTAAATAATTCAGATCAGTGTTTAAAAGTAAGAGAGAAAAAAGAGAGCAACAGGAACGAGAGGATTTGCAAAGCAAGAGCCAGAGTAAAGGGCATCGGGGTCATCGTGCCAAAATGCATGCCCCCTTAATTCTTATCAGATGTTGTCAAGACCTGAGCCCCATTATGCTTAATTAATCAGTTTTATTGGTTTAATTAATAGCAGACAGCAGACAGCACAGCTGTCTCAGCTGGCGCAAAAAAGGAAGGGCACAGCGAGGCGCCGCAGCCGAGGAGTGCTTCCTCTGCCTGTCTCTTTCTCGCACACATAAGGGAAGTGTCATGGGAGAGTAGTGGGCTGTTTTGTTGTGGACTTTTCACTATCTATAAGTCGTCATTCTCATGATATAGACCAAACACGTACCCACACCGTCAAGGCACTAGAAAGAATATGTGTCACTGCAGTTGCTGTGGTAGGTACAGTGGCAAGCTGAGGCACCATTAGCCCTGTTCATCTCAGTTCTGTTTTAGTTACGTGGTGTGAAATACCCTCATATGTTTCACTATGTTTATTGAAGATTTTGCTCTGATATATATTATAAGGCTCCTTTGAAGTAGCAGTGTCTCCAAAACAAATTAGATTTGTGGTGAGAGGAGTACGTAACCAAGAATCTTACGTGTAAACACAACAAAAATCAAGCATCTCTTTTTTTCTGTTGCTTTAACCTCAGTGGGTTTGGCAGAACTGTAGGTGTTTATGGTTACACCATGCGATTCATTGATGCCAGGGATCTTGAGTGGTAGACAGACACAGCCATACATTGCCAGAGTTAGTTGTTCTGGTTTGCATAAGCCCGATGATGCGTGTGTGGCTGTTCAGTCTAGACACTGAGCCAATGTCTAGACTGAACATTTGGAGAGGTTTTATGCTTTTTGGACTTTGTTTTTTCACATTTAACAATCTTTGAGACATCTGAAAATAGTGTGGCCAAACCTTAGCCTGTCAGTGGGTTATTGTTATCTCTGGCTTAAGGGCTCTGTTGGAAACTATCTGAATCTCCACAGTGTACAGCAGTGTTGTTTATGAATCTGTCGACAGCCAAGTGAAACAGCCTCTTCCAGAAAACATGGCTGGAATCCTGGCAGATACGAACAGATGATGAACCCGGTCGAAGCGCAGTTTGCTTTACTTTGACAGGCCAAACAGGACATTGTCTTTCTTCAAATCTCAAGCTGTCAATATCTGTGTCATGGAGGATCACCAGAGCAATGGAGAAGTGCGTGAAGGGAGTGAGAGGCTGAGAGAAGTGGGGGTGCAAGAGGGTAACATGTTTTCCTGTCACATTCTTGCTTATCAGCTTCTTCTATAGCCTGAGAGAATGACAGGAGCTCTGGACTGTGTTAAGGTGGTATCAGCTCAGACGTTGTTTTGCTCAGGATGGCTTTGCTGGGGATGAATGCGGTAGTGAGAGAGGGAGAGCAGAAGGCAGCATGAAAGCATGAAGGAAAAAAGGAAGAAATATAGATAAAGGAAGGTGTAAAGATTTGGAGAAAATATTAAGGAAACGAGGGCTGTCACATAACATCCATTCATTAGCTATCCTGCTATATCTATATATATCCTTTAATGGGTCACGGGACACTGGGCAAGAGAAGGAAACATCCTTAACAGTTTGCCAAAAAATTGGTTATTGGTTATTAATCTGATTATCTCTCTAAAGTGAAGATAGAATGAATCATTTTAATAATTATAAGCAGCTGAATACATACCCATGGCAACAAACCATCAAATGATAATGATGATCACTTTTATTGGTCAAGTATGTTACACACACAAGGAATTTTTCTCTGGTAAGAATCGAGGCAAGCCATCTGCGGCACCAACTCACACGTGCACGCACACACACACACACACACACACACACAGATGGCAGCACCGTCCCTACTGAGCCACAGCCACCCCAATCTGAGAGATAATCTCATAAGATAATAAATTGCAACTCTGTGCATATCAGGATGTTGGACAACATTTTATTCAGCAAAATAGTCCTACTGCTTTGTTTATTACTGTTTTTGTATCTGAGTTGATTATATCCCACTAAAATATTCACAGTATTTTGTGTATTGATGGACGGTACAGACTGGGATGCGAAGAAATGGATTTAGATGACTTACCCTTTTTAAGATTATTGTCAGGATGTGAACTGCTGACTGGGGATGCTGCCAGAGTAACAGAATGTTTGCTCAGATCTGATACTGGAACCATTGCACAATGTTTACAATATTACATTCATACAAGGCTCTTGATCCCAAGAGGAGACTCGTGGCAGCAGTGGGGCT